ACCGCGAAAGGCCAGATTTGCGCGAGCGAGGAAGAAAAAACAATTTGTTCATGGTCGGGCGAAAGTGTACAGAGTGTTCACCATTTACAGGCTTCGAAGCAGTGAGCGCGGCCGCGCCAACGGTCCTGTATACAACGTGGTTGGCGCACACAGCTGAAGAGCCGCACAGGGCCAGGCTAGGCCTTACTTCCGAAGCCTTTTCCCCTACAGTCACGGCTTCCTCTTTTTCTCTTCATATCGCATCCCTTCCAGGTGCAAAAATCCTGTCAAGTTTGCTTGTTAGGGATGTCAATGTATCAATGTTCAATTTCCAAATAGGCAAGCAGATCGCAACGGATTTCTCTCAAATTCGCAACTTGTTTGTGCATCAAGCATGCATGCATCCATGAATGCTAGACATGAGCCAGGACGGTATTTTATAGCCTTAACCAGGAGAGGGTTGCTAGAAGCTGTTACAAGCCATTACAAGCCATCAAGCCAAGCCTTCAAGAACTCGCTGTGTTGTTTGAGCAACTTTGACGTTTTCGTGAGTGTGTAGAAGAACATTTATTTGACGGAAGCTAAGACCATGATGCGCCGTTGCTGAAACATTTGTGAAGAGTCATTGTCTTTACTCTGTGGACGAGGGTCGGCGTTTTTGTGTTTGCTTCGTCAACCAAGGAACAGATGGGATCTTTGCACGCTACGCTTCAATCATTATCCAGCCACATCTGGGACTGCGGAGGATGGTGCAGCGATTCCTTGCGGAGAGCATACCGATTTCGGTGCGGTGACGCTCCTGCTGCTTGAGGCCGGAGGGTCAACTCTTTCCAGAGGCCATGGGCAGAGCGTGATGCAGATGAATTGTTTGAGGTTGCTTGCGTTTGCCAAAATCGAGAAACACACGTAGCACCATTGGTGGTTGATGTGCTGAAAGTAATCTAGAAGGACCTTCAGATCGGAACCATGTCAATATACAAAATGAAGACAGAATCTGTAGCAATGCAAATGCAATGCAATACCCGCACAAGTCCGATTCTCGTCATTGCGCTTTGGTTCCTGGAGGACGGCGTCCCTGGCCTGGAGGCCCGCACGTCGCAGGGCTGGACGCCGGCGGCAGGCCGGCAGGGCGCCCTGCTGCTGAACACTGGGGCCATGTTAGCGCGGTGGTGCAACGATCGCGTCAAGGCAAGGGCGTGTTGCGATGTGCGGATCCGAAAAAAATAATCCAAAGCAAAACCAGCAGGGTCCAATTAAAATATCAACACCAGTGTAGCTTGGTATTCTCGCGTGTGTCAAGGGTTCTTCCAAGGGCTGACCGGCTTGAATTGGCCCATTGACGAGCGATTTTGAATGGATGAAGCTGCTAAAACGAGACAGGCACTGAATTGGTGGTGGTGTAGGCGTGACAACAGTGACAAGTAGCAAGGCCAAAGTTTGGGAGAAGACATACTGAAATGACACTTTTGCAGTAGGCTTGGCGTAGGCAAAGCGAGGCTCACAGGCCAGAATGTGGACCAGTATTTGCTGCCGATTAGAACTACACCATGCAATTCAAAGGCAGGACTCTCATGCAGAGATTCAGTGCGCAAGCTTCGAAGTGTTGTATGCCGAAAGGGCCCTCTACACCCACATACGCGGACGCTGCGTCGGCCAGACTACTGCCAAGGTTCACAGCACTCGTAGGCAAAGAGAGAAGAATGGAACGAGGGATCATAAACCCTGGTATAGGTGAGCTTTGAAGAATCGACTGAAGAAAAACAGCACTGGCTCAACTGTGAAGGTATCTTTTTGGGAGCCCTTTTGCAAGACATCTCCTCATGATAATTTCAAGGCACGTTGCTGGCACGCATACTTTGTCAGCTTTGGCAAAGCCTCAATGAGCCTGCAGGGCCAGGCTCACAGAATGGATCTCCGGCATGCCAACTGGAAAACGACTAGCCTATTTCTGACAAATACTGTCTAGGGACGACAGTTGCAATGAGCCTGGGCCGGACTCTCAGGCCACACCGCATCGAGTGGTTCCCACATGTTCAGAGCGATTCAGCATCGCCTTTTTCTGCGATCCAGACAGAGGGGAGCTGGTGGAGGTTTTGCCAGAGCTTTGGGCTGCACTGCGCAATTCCCAGTTGTGGTATTTTGGTTTATTTGAGCTCAGACTGGTTATTCCTTGCCTGCGCATTTGCCGTTCTGCACAAACTGGAGGAAGCTCACTCATGGAAGAGAAGCAGAGAGAGAGAGAGAGAGAGAGAGAGAGAGACGAACGACAAACATGAAGGTGGACATGCTGCTGTGATCGTGATGGCCATGGGTCGAGCTTTTTTGCGCAACGCATCCATCCAAGCTCTATGTAAGTTATGCCCTCCACGCCATGCTATTCAGCTGCCGCGTGATGTACTCAGGAGTTCACCCAGGGCACCAAGCCTTTATACGAGCCGATCCTTGCAGAGGACACATTACGCAGTTTGAGTTGCAGAATGATGTTCGGCCTCCCAACCGAAAATGCAAACTCCATGCACGTCCAAAAGGCCCCTAATCCCACCCCAGCCTAAACCAACCCGCCCTCATCCTGCCCCTCCCTGGAGCCAACCCTAAATCTGCCCTCCACCCTAGGCCAGCTCACCCCCAACCCCAAATCCAACCTAGATCTACTGCAAACCCATCCCAAACCACCCGGAGCATGAAGCGACTCACGGCTCTTCTCAGGGTGGCTCGGGCGTTTGGGCAGCGTGTCGGCTTATCGGGACTTAGCATTGGGGGGCCTAGCAGCTTAGAGGCTTCTCGGCAGTATTGGTTGAGTATTGGCGGACTATTTGGCTGTGGCTCAAAAAAGTGGTACCCTTTTTTGGGCCCCTTTCAGGGAAACAAAGACCAACACCTGCATATGGGAGTCGTTCTAAAGGTCCTTGTAAGGAGTTTAGTATTCGGTGACCATTGGTGTTGGTTGAAGTAGCTCCGCGCAAGATTCGCGATGGAGTTGCGAAAGTAACTTCGTTTTTCTTTTTTTTTTATCGCGAAAGTTATTTTTTAACTGTGTCTTGTAAATCAATGATATGTGAAACCATTCATCTTTGCCGCTGAGCCTTCCTTCTACGCTGATTAAAACACTTTTTGGATTTTGTGCTGATAAAGCCTGGTGAGGCTACAGCTTGATACCCTGCTTGGCTGGTTAGTGCCCAAGCCAGTGTATGTATGTCTGTGGGTGTGGCTTTCCGCTCAGAAACGTGGGTGATTTTTCGCGAAACTTCCGCGAAAGCCCGCGCGAAAGCGCAGGCTTCGATTGTAAGGGGATGCTTTCGGAGCGCCGCGCTAGTCAATGTGCCAGCTTGGTACTGGAAAGTTGCGTCTTTAAGCTGGAGCTGCATGGCTTACGAAAAGCTGCGTCTTTCCAGCCGGTGCATGTCATGTACTACCACTGTGATGAAAGTTGCGACTTTACAGCCGGAGTTGGGGAATCGGATTTCGCGCACTGCACTGGCATTCGAAAGCTGCGATTTCTGACTTGAGCAGGGAAAAGGGCACGGCGATGAATCCGCGAAAGATTCGCGCAAGTAACTGTTTTATTCGCGAAGAATGGCCGTTTCGAGACAAAGGAATTTAGAACAACCACCATATCCCCAGCTCTTCAATTTTGAGCCACACCCATTTCTTGAGTTTGGGTGCAGGATTGTTTCGGTTGTTCTTAATTTGACGTTGGATCTTAGGTTTAATGGCTGGCGTGACACTGGTTTGGCATTGGGGGCCTTTAGAATCAGGGACCTCTATCCTTATCTACACTCACAATCTCACCCTCCAACGCATCCTCCGCATGACTTCTGAAGTTCAATGTGAAAATGAGAACACCTTGCTACATACATTTCACTCATTATTTAGGGTCAACGATCCTAATGACCCTAGAGATAAATGTGGTCTCCCGCTATCACGAGGAAAATTTAACCTTGGTAATTGCCCAAATGGACCGAGCCAATGGCAAGTTGGATTTAGGTGCATTTGTTGGGAGGGCTGCAGCAAGGCAAATTCACACGATCTAACACGAGAACGGTCGGAAAATACTATGTTGGCTTCTAATTTAGTATTGGGAAATTGGGGGGTCTGGAATCATATTCATTGATAAGGTGCGTGCATTGATAGGGGAAAAAGAGCTGCTCAATGCCCGGGCGCCAGATGAGCTGCGAAGCTTACAGTTGAGGTAGGAATATGCTTGAACCAAAAGGCCCAGGATGAAGCTGCTTGCCATAAATAAGTTCTGCACTCAATGCAAATGCCTTTGAGGACTACCTTGTGCAGTGTCTCAAGGGCGCCCAAACTGGCAAGGTGAGCGAAGAGGCTAAGAATTCCTTGATTGTGTGAAAGAGCGGCGCCCAGCTCATGTACAGAGCCTTGACCAGCTTGCTGGTATTGGCCAACAATGACAATAAAAACTGTGCTTGTCACTCAGATTCAAAACAGGTTTTGAGTTTGATTAGTTGCATGCGTTGTTTGTTTGCATTCTGCAAGCCTGTGAGCAATCAGTAGTGTACAGCAGAGCCATGATTGACATAAGACTTTCATGCAAGCACATGTGCAGCACTGTGAACGGATGTTACTCTCTGCTGCCACCACGTACTTAGACTCCGCCTGGCAATCGTGCACTTGAACCTGTGCCTCACGGCAAGTTCAGCCGAGACGCAGCACGCAGCCTGCTTTGAAGCCATGCTCAGTGGCAAACGCGGAAAGCACGCGCAGCCGCCTTCTCACACCCGGCTCAAAAGAAGCATCATCCCACATGATTCATACTGCTGTGAGTTGTTGTTTGCCCCAAAAACACTAACATGTTTCTTCAGGCGATAGCTCCATACAAACAAGGGTGTTTGTCCTCGCACACACTGTAGATGCTCGAGTATGTTTGATCAAGCCTTGTGGCAGTTGCATGGTTCCCACACAAGATCCTTCCCGCTACTGTTCTGGGTTTTGGCACAGGGACGAAGATTTAGTAAGACCTCTAAGAAAACAGCCTGCACCATGTGCTTATGCACGCTTAGGTGCGAATGCCAGCCGGCACTGGGTGTGGAGCACAGTGAGCTTGAGTTTCGGCCGCCAATCCTTGATTTTGGACGGTTTTGACAGCTTATTAGGTTCCAAATGATCTTCTGCCAGTCCATGCCACGGGCAGCTGTCAGCTTTTCGCCACAGCCGCAGGCTTCGCAAGGCTTGTTCCAGGCGACAAAGTCTGTGGCCTGCGGGGATTCCAGAGGAGCGAGTCAGCTAGTCATGATCCTGGGTTCTCAACAAAAGGAACCTCCTGCGGTGCAGACAGCGCAGCAATTTGAAGGGATCTGGAAGGAAGCAGGAGCGCTTGTGGTCTCGATCATTTCTCCTTTTGGATGACAAAACCGAGTCCTCCCAATCCAGGACGCTCAGCTCATCAAGGTGTCGGGGGTGATGCAACACATGAATCCTGTCAAGTCGGGGACTTCGAGGCTGCACAGGCCAAGCCCAAGAAAAATGCTTGCTCTCACCATGAGCACTTCGATGGCTCCATGCAATGGGGAAGCTGCCAGGATTAGATATTAGCTGGACGCCAGCAGAGGTGAGGTTTACAATTTGCCATGTAGTTGACAATGCTCAGGGCATCTCACAGGCGGCCAGCATCAACTCAGGCAGTCCATTACCGCCAAGCTTCTCTCCTGATGCGGACCCATCAACAATCAGAAATAGACATGCTGGCTAACTTGTGTGAACGTGTCCTAGCACTCGCAGTGCTTGGCGTGTATTGGGTTCGTTAGAGCTTCATTTGGGAAAGACACCCTTCACGATGCCGCATTGAGAGAGCGACATTGGCAAAGTCAACTTGTCAGGGTCAGCCTCCTCCAGCTCAGAAGGGCAAGGGTCTGAGACTGCGAACTGCGGATAGCTTCTATGCTTGCTGCGATTGCTGCTTGGCATTGCGCCGTCAGACTGGCCTTCGGTGTGCGTTGCATGAGAGAACAAACAAACTCACGACATCCACATATGGGGTTTGCAACAGGATTTGACGCTTATCCAACTTATTTTGAACTGCTGCAAGCTGCCAGACACTGACAGGTCATGGGGCATTGAGGAGCATGCTGGCACGTTTGTGAATGCATGGCCCGGAAATGGTTGCATTGCTGAGAATCTTGAAAAAGAAAACAACGGCGCACCTTGTTTGCCAGAGTGCAGCATGCCAAAAAGGTGAAAAACGAGCAGTTAGCTGGCCAAGAGCTTCTGAGCAAGCTCAACGAGACATTTCGCCGACACAAAATGTGATGTGCCAAGCAAGTATCCAGTTGAAGACATATCAGTTGTCACAAGGCCGAGAAGGTATGACTTCTTTACGTGAATCAACTCGTCACCTGGGGCCTACTGCCAAGTTTTCCAGAAACTCGCAATGCGATCGCTCAAGCCTTTTTCTTGAGTTCGTGAGTGGGGTCAGCGCCCAGTGCAATGGCGTAACACAAGCCATCCTTGAAGTTTCCGAGAAAGATGAGCATGAGAGAGTGTTGCGCCAGGACGATACCCGTGAGACGGGGGAGGCCAGGCTTGAGCAGCAAAGGAGGGCTCACTCGGGGAGCTTGTTGTGAACAAGTATAGATTTCCACTTTTCGTTGCCCGGGATTATTATTTGGGAAACATCATGCTTGCTTCGAGTGCCAAGAGTACGATGGGACATGCTGAGTGATAGAATGCGAAGAGCAAAGCTGCAAAATTGGGACTCATATTTTTACGTCGGCATGTGTACTAGTACTTGCAATGCTCAGGCTGTGGTTCCACGCCTCACCCTGTGCCTACCTAAGTCATTAACTTTGTGAGAAAACTGCTCGCAGTGCTGCTGTGCGCAATGCAGTCCGCAATCGACTCCCTGCTGTGGTGCTTTGAGATAAATACTTGGGGCCAGAAGCCCCTAGTTTGTCTTTACCGTATATGCAGCCAGTCAGCCATGCTTTTCTCCTCGTGTCGACTTGTGCCAAACAATGCCAAGGAGGGCACCGACGATGGCCGATGCCATGTCCCTGGAGCAGGCGGATTCCCGAGTGAGAGCCTCCCAAGCGCATCATCAGTTCCAAAGGCCAGCGCAATTCGTGCTCCCTCGTGCTCCTCGTGCTCCCTGCCCACGAATTTCTTTTCATAGTACTGTCACACTCTTTCAAGGCAGTCAGCTGCCCTGAGAATCAACCCAATGCTATGCTGAGAGCGGACCTCCGAGGCGCTTCATGCGGAGAACTCGATCCTGGAGCGGGAGGCGGGCTACAGGCATTCTTTTTTGAGTGGAGAGCGATGCACTAATTTTGTATTTCCGGTATATCCGAACAAAGTTGTCTTGAGCTGAATACCGTCAATGTCACATCCTCACTGTTCCATTGATTTTGGTGCCCGCCCTTCAAACAACAATCATGCAGGTTGCGCGCCAGAGGGCAGAAATCCAGGACTTTGGATGGGCGTGGCGGCTGGGTTGCTCCCCACCCTGGTTTCAGTTGAGCCAGCAGAGCAGCATCATTGATCACACCCAGTATAAGCGCTCAATACACAAATTCTTAATCATTACCGGCTCAATGTGTTTAGTTGTAGATGCTTGTAGAGCCCGCTTGGTTTTGTAGACCCCCCCCCACGTTGTTCTGCCTCAGGGCAAAAGATGCACAGCTGCATTGACTGAAGCACAGCGGGCACCAAATGCTGGGACTGCAAGACTGCCTCTCCCAGCATCTCTCAAGAGACCAAAGCAGCCAAGCAGCTGCCAAGACAATGTGGTGGACAACAAAGCAGCTGCCAAAATCGACCCCACAGCGCCGCATCCTGCAGTCGGTTCCAGTTAAGGTGACTCGAACAGCGATCCTGGGATTTGCACGGGTCAGGGTCCAGGCAAAAGATCCCTGCCGCACCCAGGAGCTGAAGAAGAAGCGATCCCACGCGCCTCAGGAGCCTCGAGTCGCAGGAGGGAAGCCGCACCTGAGCGAGAAGCTGTGAGACTGCCCTTCCGAATCCCCAGAGATGGGAATGTTTGTCAAGGTGCCGGCACCGCGATGCCAACATTCATCGTGAATGTGCATCAAGGATCTCTTTGACCTGTCTAGGTAATGGTCCAGCAAAATCTACAGACTGTCAAGTCCCACCAAAGCTGTGTTCAATGCGGACACGTGTGTTCAGTTGTGGCAGATACCTCGGTCAATGTGTGTCGTGTAAGTTGAGGTCGTACCGGAATCCCTCTAGGCTCTATGGTCCGGAACAGAGCAGCATGGCTAGCAATTTGGACTTTGGTTCCGAATCCAGATTCATGAACTGGGCACGCCATTGATGTTGGTGGATGGCGCCTTGTTCATGTGTTTGCGTGTTCACGTGTCCTGTGTTTAATTCATGTATGCATGAAGGTACGTTGCGTAACTAGATAAACTCTACCCAGGAGTCGTTTTCGCTGTTGCGTTGCTGTGTTTTGTCGTATTTTGCTGCGGCTGCTGCCGCTACCGCGAGGGGGGGGGGGGACCAATGAACATAATTAATCATATTGCGCTTTCATGTATGGCACAAAGTTAGGGCGAGTGGGTGGGCCGGTGTATACAGACTTTTCCGCATACAATATACAACGGCACGGCATGTACATATTATGAGTAGCACACGCACACACACACACACACACACACACACACACACACACACACACACACACACACACACACACACACACACACACACACACACACACACACACACACACACACACACACACACACACACACACACACACACACACACACACACACACACACACACACACACACACACACACACACACACACACACACACACACACACACACACACACACACACACACACACACACACACACACACACACACACACACACACACACACACACACACACACACACACACACACACACACACACACACACACACACACACACACACACACACACACACACACACACACACACACACACACACACACACACACACACACACACACACACACACACACACACACACACACACACACACACACACACACACACACACACACACACACACACACACACACACACACACACACACACACACACACACACACACACACACACACACACACACACACACACACACACACACACACACACACACACACACACACACACACACACACACACACACACACACACACACACACACACACACACACACACACACACACACACACACACACACACACACACACACACACACACACACACACACACACACACACACACACACACACACACACACACACACACACACACACACACACACACACACACACACACACTATATACAACATGTGAGCAGAGACACATGGAATGTATGTGTGATTTGACGTGTCAGCTACTTGGCCAGTTGGTGGTACTACATCCAGAAGCACTTCATCCAGAAGTGGCAGCAAAACGCCTGCTCAGGCTGGCCGCAGCCAGTTGCGATCAAACGTGCCACCCAAGCGTCGCGGACAAAATAAAGCTGCCGGGCAATGCACAAGCGGTTTTTTCCTCGTTCGCTCTCTTGTACATGGAGGAGAAAGCAGTCAATTGCGAATTGTCAACTTCTTCCGCAGAAAGCAGCCACAGATCTGATCTCAATGCACAGGGTGGCGCAGGCTCGGTGCCAGTTCCGAGGCGCACAGGGCGTACAGGGCATGGGTTTTAGCAACTCATGCATCACATGAAGCACACCGGTCGCCAAAGCACCCCAAGACACCCTACAGCTTGTGACGCAAAACATACTCTTGTAGCCACAATGGTAAAGTGATGTCGCAATCTTGTTGCTTTTCTAGCACGAACTGTGGAAGGCCTTGTCTCAGGTTTGTGCCGAGAGCTGCAGGCCGGGGGGCCGGAGTGGTATGGGGCTGTGAAGGCTATGTGATGTGGAGTGCCTCTTAGACTCTCACAAGTTCCCCGTGCCACAGCCACTGTTTGGCAGGGCTGATGACTTGCTTCCCTGGATAGGGGCGCTCCCCACCCAGGCAGCACAACCTGCACAATGCAGAGATCTCCGCAGTCGCCGCGAGTGATGCAGGCGAGCGTTCGCATGCTTGGGCTATTGCATTCCTATCGCGTCGCACACGAATTGTCTTGTGCCTTGCTCCGATCCTTCCGCGGCAGCCGGCAGGGCGTAGCCACTCCGGTGTGCTCCCCGCGGGGGGAGGTGCCCTCGAGGTGGGGGCTGACAGATTTCAGGTAAGGGGAGTTGATTGTTGACAATAGTTGATATAAGCAAGGCTCTTTTTGAGGTATGCCTTTTGGCGTCGGTTTCAAGCGAGACCATGCTCCTAATCTCTGGAGAGAACTCATATTTGTCTATGTTTCCATGAGGCTTTCTGTCGCGGCTGCACATTTGTGCGAAGAAAGAACTGTGACTGGACATGGTCAGGCATTGCAGACACGCTGAAATTAGTTAGATGAAATGCCAGATGGAGCCATTTGACATGTCAAGCTTATGCAAGCCGAATGCTTGTGGCTCATGGCTTTGGTAAGTCCACCCGTCTTCCACTTGTTTCTTGGTGAATCAGACGGCTTACAAGCCTGATGTTCGTGTTCGTGAAGCTGTGACAATGCTGATCATGTAAGCTGCCACCATTGATTTGGGCCTCTCAGGAGACAAGTTTCACGCCTCAAATTGTTCAACTTTGCACATAGACAAGGTCCCTTGTCCAGGCTTTGCGCATACCTGCCGACCAACGGCTGGGTCTACGCGGCGCCCGCAAGCAGCCAGGCGCAGGCACAGGAACGCAACCAAGTTCTTGACGGGCAATCCAACTGCGGCTTTTGCCAGCTGCAGTTTGCTGCAAGTAACAGCTCCTTCGCAGCCAATACTCTCAGATTCAATGATTCAACTGCACGAGCGACCGCGCTTTTTTAACCCCAACGCACGGCCCTATGTAGGAATCCTGCCAACGCTAGATTGCCAAGATGGAACTTGCCTAGATTACCACCAGTTCGCAAGATACATATGCTTGAACGGCAGTATCCCAGCCTTCCAAACGCACGGTGCCCATCCAAGCGAAAGCCGCGTTTCTTCCCACTTGCCAGACGCCACGCACATCAGCGGCGCCTGTGAGAACTGCGTGGCCTTGCAGCACTTGCTTGGGGTCAGGGATTGTGGGGTGGGGCTCAGAATATTTTGCATTTGACTGTTTCGGCAAGATCACATGATAGCAATCCTGAAGTGACGGTTGAAATGAAGTTTTCCAAACCCTTGATCCATGCTGACTTAGACCCGCTTTTTCAGAGAAGAAGCTACCTTGCAGCCATAGCAAAAAAAGTAATCTGCCATGTCTCGGGGAGGCAAGCTAGATCGCTATCATTTTGCATATGCCTCGAGTGCTGGCATGTGTTTCTTGCCGTGCAAGCTAATCACCAGTGCAAAATGAGTATAACCGAGACAAGTATGGCATGGTGCTTTTTGAAGCAATGCCCACAGGGGCAGTTTTCGATTAGCATGGCTCTGCCTTATGCCTTTGGGCAAAGCAGCCTCCTCCAAGGGGTTCATTTGGACTGCATGAATGGAGAATGCTGAGCACTGATCTTGCATGTAGATCGAAAATCTAGTATAGAATCAATCATGAGTGGTTGCCTTCCTGAGGACATCAATGTTCTGGTCTAGTGAGCACGGCCATCACTGAAAGGTGGCATCGAACCACTGCAACCAAGCGAACCACTGCTTGGAACATGCTTTGACTCACAGCGCCGCCAGTGTGCGAATGCGCACAGTTCCCTCACCAACATCGCACTGACCGTCCGGGCCAGAGGACGAGGGAGTGGATGGGCCACTTGAGAAATGCGGCATGTGTTTTTTTATTCTTCTTTTGTTCTGATGGTTTCGTCATGAGCTGGCACAAGGCCAAACAAGAATGAACACCAAGCTGGGGTGCGCCCATCCATTTGGTTCAAACGGGACTTGCGAGGAGTTTCCAGATGCAAGAGCTGAGAAGAGGGGCGAAGACTGGTGGGACATACTTAGACGCCATAGACTACTTTCTTAGGCATTATACAAAATCGCCAAACCCGTCCAACATAATTGCTGGTCAAATTGCAGTGAATGTGCGAATGAGGTTTGCAGACCTGGACAGAATGAGGGCCAGGCTTAGCCAGGCTTGTTCAGGCGTATGCCAAACAACTTGGTCACAGGCTAAAACAGTTTAGCTTACGGAGATCCAATGATGACCGAGCTTGGCGAGATGTCTGAGGGGCAGTCAAAGCAATGAAGGGACTCGCAACTTAGTGATTCGCATTGTGCCACTTTGCTCGGACCATGGCAAGCGCACCAAGCCTAGATTGAGCCCAGGCCAGGCGCTGCGTCTCCGTGCTAGCCTTGTGAAGAGAATGCGATGAGAAGTTGTGAATCTTGATAGGTCATGTTTCGATGTTTCGGGTCTCAATTCTAGCGCATGATCTATACCTCAGGCAGAGATGACAAGGGCTCACTCGAAGTCCTGAAGCGCGCCAGCGAGCCTGCAATTTCTGCCGGCATCCCCAAACCCTGCGATAGTATACAAGGCATGTGTTCAAATAGGACCTTGGAGCCATTGCAAGTCGTTTGGGCGAGACCGTGCAGATGCACCACACATCTAGTAGACGTCATGCAGCCAACGAATGCCGCGAAAATTGCTTGCGGTTGTGCAATGACCGCAGTGTGTCGCGATGGAAGTGGATCGGCCATTGCTGAGCAAGAACATGCTGCAGTTGCTTGCACTTGGCTTACAGCCTGTAGCTGAGCCAATTTAGAAGAGGGTAGGTACCGTTCTTCAAGCTAGACTGATTCAATACTGGCAAGAGAGCACAACAACTGACCATGGCTAAAGCATTCAGTCTTCGCCCCAGCCTCTAAGTGCTCTCCCCGTTACCTGCCAGAGGGCGAGCAAGATAAAACGTCTAAGGAGGCGACGCCTTGCTCCACGTCACAAGACCGATACGCAAAATGCTCGTTTGATTCATTTTGCTAAAGCCAGGAGGCAAGGGTCACGATTGGAGATTGCGGTACCCAGAGCAAAGAGCTTGAGCACTTTAAACGTCCCATGAGGGCATGAGCATGGTGCGCGAGACAGCATGGGTGATGAGCCAGGGGCTCACGTTTTGAATTTTGAGCAATGATAATATTTAGGATATGTGTCAGATATTTGGATTGATTATGCATGTGTCCTTTTGATATTCCTAAGGGATGTATTTGTTTGAATCAGACACATGGTTGCAAGGATGTTGGCTTATATATTTGTTTGTAGTTTGATCAACACTGTGTGTGTGTCACTCAAGGGATCCGAGTGGGCATGATCCTATTTTAACCTTAATGAACTGTCGCTTGTGGGAAATGCTCAAGCCATTTGTCCCTGCATACAAATCATAGTCATGCAGCCTTTCACCCAAGGGGCCGCCGAAATCGAGCCCGGCGAGGCCCGCGGTGTGGGGAATTTGAAGTAGGGGCTTGGACTTGCGCGACTGGCTTTGGGACCAACATCCAACTTTGTGACTATGTTCTCCTGTTGCCTCATTTTGTGCCACTTCTTGAACGGCGAGTCAATGCGTTCAAGAGGCTGATCAGTTCTGGAGTTCCTATCCAGGCTTATCAGGTCCCACCCGTGAAGCATTATACGTCAAGGATTCGTCGCAGGTCAACACTGGTTGACCTGCAAACCACAGTATCTGCAATATGTGGAGACGTCGTTGTGATGACGGTTTGCTCTGGTGGGAAGAACGGCAGAGCTGGTAAGATTGAGTATTTGGCACCACATCGTATCAGGGTGGCATTCTCATCAAGAATCAGCCTTGCTGATGTTTGGTTGCTGTGTGATAAAAGGATGGCAAAACCCTTTCCTCTCACCTTTTGCTCGCTCATCCGCATATTTGCAGTGTGCTCCTCGCTGCACCGGCTGCTGTCTTGCGCCTGGAGCCCAAGGTGCCGTCGATAGCTGGCCTGGTTCATTTCGTGGAGTCAAGGAATGAATCCACGTCATGTTTGAAGCTGGACTTGCGGCAGCTATCCAGAACCTGGCCCTCTATGCGCATTGCAAGGCCACCGCCACGCTTGCCATAAGGTTGACAACTTGTGGCACAAACTTCGAACCAGCTGCAAGCGTCGCAGGCGTGGCTCAACCTTGAAGACTGCAGCAAAGCTAATTGACAATCTACAAAGACATGCCATTTGAGAAGTAGGAGCTGGATTGTGACTCCCGGCTGTCCAAGAGATGATGAACATTAGCTGCTTTCCCTTCCAAATTGCAACATCGCCAGGAACTCGCAAAAGCGAGTTCTCTTCTACACGGCGCAGGGCATTGCAAGCTTATTTGTGCACCTGGCTCAGACGTGGCGCTGTCAGCAGCGGTTGTAGTCACTGATTACTCTGAGTGTAGGGGAAGTACCATGTTTGCCAAATTGCCGAACGACCAAATCCAGAGGCTAACTACGGAAGGTGTGCAATACTTGGCCAGCTACATCTATTTGCCTGATGCGATGACATCGCACATGCTCAAGTTCAAAGAGAGCAACTGCGCAGGATGACAGCAGCGATTGTGCTTTACCAGATCATTTTATCTACAGCGACAACGATTAGCGAGGCAGCTGTTGCAATTTACATGGTATACCGTGCAGAATGCCGCGGCGTCACGTTTGCATGTGGCACAAACTCTGTTTCCTTTTGCATCCAAGGCCCGAGGTTCTCTGAAATGAGTCGACCGCCGCGCAACTCCATTTTACATATTTTTACATGTTGTCAACGACTTACGGTTTTCAATTCACCCGTAGTTTGAGAGCAAGAGGCCATGGGCTGCATAGGCATTGGCTTTTTCTCCCCAGACATGGGATTGCTCCGCGCGGCCAGTCCTGCGGCAGCAGCTCGATACCCACAAATA